TTAAAACATTACAATCTTTCGATACATTCTACGATTTCATGGAACAAGTCACGGTGTTTCGAGATCGATATGGATCACTGTTAAGGTTGGGTTCGGAAGACCCATAGTTCGAAAAGTAAAGAAATGGCGCGCGTGTGCGCGCGCATGTCTGCAGCCGCGCGCGCGTCAATCTTATGTATACGTACGTAAAATTATTTCTCATTACATTGATGCATATCTAGACTTTTGTTCCGTTACGAACGTTATTTAGAATATTATTTCAATGAGCAAGTAACTAGGAGAGCCTCTGTTTTATTTACTCCTTCTTTATCTTTTGTCTTGACCATCTCTTTCTTCCTTTCTTCCTTCCTTCCTTCCTTTCTTTCTTTTTTTCTTATATTTATATATATATATATTTTTCTTTTTAAATCATTTTTTAACTAAACGATACACGAACGCGAGGACACGCTTACGTTCTTTTAATATATTCTCGTCTGTTAGCGCGAGCAATTCTCCAATTCTGACACATTTAATACGTTTGTGTGTTATAACTTATTAATATACTCATCATGCGTACATTTCTGTTTCTCCTATCGCTTTTGCATTTTCTCCCTCACATTCTCTCCCTCTCTCTCTCTCACTCTCTGTCTCACTCTTTTGTCTCTCTCTTCTATCATCTGATTTATATACAATATAATCGTTTCGTCTCGAATTGCGCTCAGATTGTGAACTATGGATGATGAAAAGAAACGCACAGTTATCGGTGGGAACACAAAGATGTAGCACGGAACAATGCGAACGATAATTAATCCTCCACTGGCAGAATGAAATATTTTTAAAAGTGTAGTCTAACAATAAGAAACATTCGGATAATCAAGTCAAATATGTCACTAGAGATTTCATATTTCACAAATCGTCAGATGTAATGCAATCTATCAGGGAATTGAAAATATTTACCTTTCTTCGATACTCGAAGAATACTCGATCGCGAGAAATCACTGTATCATCATAATAATTGTTTCAATTCTACTAGTCGAGAATTCGTTCGTAGCCGAGAATGTAAATTGTTTCGCAAGGAGAGTTTCGTTTTGAACTCTTGGGAGGAGATGGGACGTTGGCTATCTTGATTAAACATCGTCACTCGATAATAATTTTTCGTCGGAATTCAGAAAAAAATTTTCCCTTTTTATCGACAGGCATTGCTAAATAGGAGAGGATAGAATAGGCATTGTGTTATTGACCTGTTACAAAGAAAGCTCGCTCGAGTTCTCCTCGTTGTTGCCAAGATGCTCGTTGAAAGTATCGGGACTGAGGTCGGTCGGGAGAGAATTGTAACTCGATTTACGTGATCCACGTAACACGGCGGGCACGGTTTAACGTTTGTTCAGCTAGTTGCGTAACAGCGATGGTCAAGCATGATGTTATTCGTAGAGCTGTAAACTCAAGGAACAGGAATAGAAAGAAGAGCAATGGTGGAACGCGAGTAACAAAGAGATGTAGGTTTGGAAAGTATCAAAGACTGAACGTTGCTTTCGTTGAGTTTCGCCTTTCGTGTATTCTTTGGTCTTTTGGTAGGTTATATAAATCGTTCACGTTTTCTCTCGTATAATGAACAATTTTCTATCTGGCGTTTTGGTGAGCATCGAGAAGGTGGCCTAGAATTCTTCTTTTCGTCGATAGAATTTTCATTTGTACCGCACAATCTGTGTAATAGTCGCGATTACCAGTAAAGTAAATTTTTG